AGCAAATGTACAACATTTCGACAAGGTTTCTTAAACAGTGTAAATCTCATGAAACTGAAAAAACAAAAATATGTCTGATGTATTCAGTGCCAAGTTAAAGAATGAAGATTAATGAATGCAAATGTATAATGAGTTAATGTGCATGGAGTATTGTCACCCTCATATTGGTGGAGGGCTTTTGCTGCATAATGATATAATTATGCACTATTGCAATTCATGAAATATCTTGTGAGATTCAGCGGGAATTCACTAAAGGCTAGCAGCATACAATCTCTAAGGCAGACATGTGGGGAAAATAGCTTAACTGTGTGAGGAGGTGTAGTATCATCTTGGATAGCAACTGTAATAAATTTTATGTAGATGGAAACATGCTCTTTCTATTGGTTAAAAAAATGCCAATCAAATAATTACACAATTAAATAATTGCTTTGAAAGCTATGGAAAAATTGGAGTGGCTTCTCTGGTGGATTTGACAAATTTACTGATGTCTCAGCAAATCAATAATGTACAAGGTCAGATCCAAAGTTTATATTCTTGCTTGTAACTTAGTATGGTATGTAATTGGTTAGACACCCTGAAAGTCGTATTAACTCTTTCAACCCGGGCTCGTAACCATTTTCTGCTTGTTATAGTTTTCATGCTGTAGCTTTTAAATTAGTAAGTGAATGTTAATATTTTTTGGCAGTTTATCAGTAAACATTACAATGCTTTCATAAACAAAATATCTATTTTTTTTGGATTAATTCTTAAGGTTTGTAAAGCAAAGTTTCTCTCATGCAAAGTAATTTTCATTTTAAGATTAAAAACACTTTTATTTTGAAATTTCACATGCAAAATCTTTATAATGTCCTGATAGTTACCGAACATTTCTTAACAAAAAATTTATATATTTTATCTGTTATTTTCAGTAATTAATCTCTGTACAGGTTTGGTAAATTTGACCGATCTCGCAACCACCATAAAAAACTAGGAAATAAACATAAATTATGCCTCTTTTATTCTAGAATGAACAAAAATTATAACACGAAAACATAAATGTTTAGACGAAATAGCATAAATCTCATAACATTATACATTTATATATATCTATTATTTTTAGTACACTGACCTTTCACCCGTGCCTGGTTAAAGCTATACATGCCATGAAAAAGTGGTCAAGCCATGACTTAACTGCTTCCTATGACCCTGTCATACAATTAGGTTAAATGTTCTAAGAATGAGGACAAAGCAAACAAGAGTGATACAATGTCAACCTGCTGACCAGGATAGGGTTAGTTGGAACCTTGGCCTGAGTTTCCAAAAATTCAGTTGTAACTCACTTACAAAGGAGGCTTTGTGTAGTATGTCATGGTAATATCATCCGAATAAAGGCATTGATTGTCACTATCATGTCCAACCACATCACTGACTATATAAGAGGTTCCCAAGAAAACAGTTATGAAGAGCAAGAACGTAAGAGCATAAAACTAAGTGTACAACATTAATTCCTACAAGTGAGTGTTTGGTGGAATAAGCATATAGTTCTTGCTGGTACTAATTAGACCAAGAAAATATGCTTAACCAATGGCTCACTGGGTTGATATTTCAGAGAGGGTTCGAGAGGTTAGTGTGCAAGCATGAAAAACAAGAACTGGCCTCATTACCATGGCTACCTTGGGCACTATACAAAAGCTAGTGGCTTCAGTGAGACACAAAGAAAAAGAATCCCAATCATAACATCAGCAACTCAACTGTTTTTGTACTTCAAGATGGTAACCCAGAATCTCTGAAAGCAGTAAGCATTTGTTATATATATATTTCATTAGAAAAAAGAAAGAACTATCAACCATACTGTTGAGGTGAGTGTGTTTTATAGTCATTAGGAGAAAAACCTATATACAGGATAGGTGAACTGAAGAAAAAGTGTCATTGGCCACTATTCAGTTCTTCACATTATATAGCTGCACAACAGCAGGTATAATAAACTTAGTATTCCAATAATTACTTCTCAAAATCTAAGTTGTGAAAATACCAATGGTTTAAAAAGTAACTAATTTAAATAAACTTATTAAAGTAAGAGCAATGAAACTTACGAAAGGAATGATTATAATGATTTGTAATTTTCTTACTCAAGCAAACTGTATTTTAGCTTAATGAATATAATTATTTTTTGTTTGTATTACATGCATCTCCATTCTAACACTCATTGTAAATATCCCTAAGAGTTCAATAAACTTGTGAATCATGGCTCACTATTTATGAATTATTTTTATATAACCTTGTAAGACAGTATAACCTCAACCTCATCTTACAGTCACATATAGATCATGCTAAAATTACCATTTTAAGTTATCTTTGGAGTCTTTTCTCCTAACACTATAAAATTCTTAATAACTATCTTTTCAATAACTTTCCCTTTGAAATTCTACAAAAATTAATACCAAGGATTTATTTAAGTATATTAAGGGTAAACAAAATACTAAAATGGGATTAAGACCATTTAGAGATGATACAGGGAGGCTAATGTCTGATGATATGAGATGGTGGGTTATTACATTTTACTTTTCTTCAATATTTACAATTGAAGATTTATGCAATATTTCTTATCCTCAATAAATGATAGACAGAAACAATATTGAAAAAGATTATCATATTAATTCTGAGCTTGCTAAGAAAAAAATTACAAAGTTTAAAGAATGATAAAGTTCCTTGGCAAAATAATATTACTCCAAAGATTTTCAGGAAGGTTAAGGATTAGATATGCGAGCCACTTCCTATTTTTTGTAAGTCCTTAAATATTGAACTGGTGCAAGAAGATAGGAAGTTGATTAATGTTATTTCTCTTTTTAAGAAAAGTGATAAAAATTATCCCAGTTATTATAGACCTATTAGCCTTACATCAGTGGTGGGAAAAGTTCTTGAAAGTCTAATAAAAAATGTTTCACAAACTCCTTTAACAAAGCTTAAAACTTCATTGGATAGTCAGCATGGTTTCACAAGGAAAAATCTTGCCTTACTAATCAATTTTCATATAGCTCAAAAAGAAAAAAAAAAAGAGCAAGTTATGAATAGAATGACCTGCGAAGAAGGTTAGCTACCAGTCAAAGGTTTGAACCTATCAAATAATGAGCAATTACTGACCAGTGTTACTGACAGGGTCTTTATATATATATTTATGAACCAAAGACTCACAAGACCTAGTCTGGTAGTGGCCAGTACCCTTAGCATGTTACAAGTTTAAGAAAATGGTCAATTATCAGCTACAAAACTTTTGCCAGGGTTCTATCCAAAAGACTTTTAGAACTGGTTCACTGGCACTCAGTACATTTCCTTTTTTAATTTCTATTTACTCATGCAAAAGCAAGAGAATAAAATAACACAAGTATTTTATACATACATCACAACAAGATACAGTGAAAAACAAGAACAAATATTCAACTAAAACAAGTATTGACTATTAGGAGAGAAAATTAAATTACACTGAGTTTTTATACACATTGACTAATACACTCAAATTATAGATAACAAAAATATTAAATCTGACCAGGATTTGTAAAGTGACATCACACTAATTATTTTTTTTTCAATTTAGATATCAAAAATTAAGTTAGTTTTTTCCCAAAATACAAAAATTTTGGTGCTACTTTAGCATGCAGTGTACAAAGATATTTACACTATAGCATGTGGTCTACACAGATACTATCATCATTACCATTTTAACTTTCATTTATTTGCAATTGGCATCATTTATTATAAATTATGTTTTTAAAGTAATAAAGTACAAAATACTATTACATAACATTTTGGGGCAAATATAATCGGAATGAAATAAATTTCAACTATCAAAACTAGCACAGTTATAACCTAAATTTAAAGTACTCTTTTCAAACAACTTATTAAGTTATTAATATTTGCTGAACAAAAATGTGGATAGATATAAATTATTTAGCAAGAATTTATGTTTTAGTGAATCATTAAATCAGTGATGATGATAGTATCTGTGTAGACCGCACGCTATAGTTTAAATATCTTTGTAGACCGCACCCTATAGTAGCACCCAAGTTTTCTATATGCCTACTCACCAGTTCAACCATAGCTAATAAAGATTCTACAAAGGCAGGTGATATTCCAATACATATTTCAGACACTGCTTTTTATTCATCCATTATTTGTTCATATTTTCCACAAATTTTATTTTGTTATTTTCATTTTTCCCAGTTTCACAACACTAAAATGAAATTTAAGAGCTCTTTCAAGTCCAGGAAGGCAAAATCATGTATTGTACTTTTCCCAGTTTCCTTGATCCGAAGACAACCATATTTATCTAAGAGAGTAAGGGTCCATGTACAGTCCTGTATAGCTTTCTTTCTTGATTAAAGAAAACATTCTTGGCATATGCTTTTTCAATAGCTTATCTTAAGACAGTCCAAGAATTTCACCTCTACTGTCGCAACGTGAATATACCCACCCGCCCCTCTTTAATCATTACAGTGTTCCAAAAACCAATAAAACAGAAAATAGGTTCTATTCCATTATTTCATGCACTGTGTACACAGGGTAGGAAAGTAATCAACACAAGGCGATGGCTTGTTCTTCATTAATACCCACTATTTGAAGCTAATGCAAGGATATACATTTATTAATACAATAAATTCATAAAATATAAGTTTTCAATACATACTTTGCAGTTTTGATTCTTCAGTTCTGAGTGGCCATAAAATATTCTTTAGTAATTTATCAGCAAATAATAAAGTTTTTGAAACATCTTATTCAGTACTATAACTTATAAGTTATAATTATAATTTTATTACCATTAGTACTACTAATAGTAGGCTAGCCTAGAAATTACATTACAGTTTATTTTACTTACACAACAACTTACAAGTGCAATACAATTAACTTTTAATTTTATAGTTGAGTTTTAGTCATGTTACTTGTGTAAACAGTAACATTCATATATATTCAAAATATGAAATTCACTTACAAAAATATTACATTATAATTTATGAAATGTGACATACCAACAATACGTTATATCATTAGACAGACGGTAAAAGATACGATCAATCCTTGGGCCTTATTAAACCTATTCGCCGATCCAGTCAACATAACATAATTAACACCTGGGCGTTTACAAACTGAACTTGTGTTTTACACTGTCGGTGTTACTCGTGTGACAGTACCACTAATAATACTAGTCGTGTTACTGTGGGTAGAGCAGATCTTCTTGCAACAACACTATTTTCCTAACGTAAACTAAGTAAATAAGTTCTTAAATCAATTTCGGAATTAAACAATTTTTGAATCATCGAGCTAGCAGAAATTCCAAACTTTTTCTCATAATCTCACCAATGAACGAACCCTTACCCACAGTACTCACCTACCATGAAAATGATCAACCTGAATAGTAGTATTTTTGTCCTCTAGGTGACGCTATTTAAAATATTTAAACATAATTATCATTTATTTGGTTTGATTGTTGTTAAGCGCAAAGCTGCACAATGAGCTATCTGTGTCAATCGACCACCGGTATCAAAACCTAGTTTTTTCAGCATTATAAGCCCTCAGATTTACCGCTGAAATACTGGGGCTGAATACAAGACAGACTCTAATAGTCATTTTTATTTATATATATCTAAAATTAAAAATTTAAAAACACCTTAGGTTTTGCATACCATAATGGCTCAAGTTGAACAAAAAACGTGGCCTGGCTAACTAATAATGAAAAAATGTTGAAAAATGTTAAAACACGCGTCTGTAACAAAAGCATTTTCATTATTACTTACAACGTTATAGACGTGTATTTGAACATTTTTGAATATTTTTCCACATTTTGCGGTCTTTTCTACTGTGTGTTCTAACTAATAATGAATATTTGTTGTAAATGCTTATCAATGCTAATTTTGATTTCATTCCGTTTAAGTCGCATACTCAATCCTTTTTGGCAGCAATTTTTTTTTTTCACACACAAGGTGTTTTTGGATTAGATATCATGACATTTTTCAATACACACCAGCAAACCACAACAAGAAACAAAAACTGACACTCAATTGTAACCAACTTTAGCTTTAGGATCGCAACCTTATTATTCGGAACAGACCTATACTTTACAGAACCAAGCAGATTCTGTATAAAATACTTGGTGGTCGTTTTTCCGTTCTAAAACAGTGTAACTAAATTCCTTTGAAGTAACGCCACGGAAACTAGATTATCAGATTCTTGTCATCACCCGCATGCACTCGGTACAGCCGTTTTCAAGCATCGTTATTTATGCTACATCACCTGATACTAAACGTTCTTTAATTAGGAGAAATTCATTATATTTAGCACACTTGTGCTTAAAAGTTGGCAGCTAATAATGAATAATAACCGTCCACCCGTATGATTCTTTTGGAAACTTGAGCTAGAAACTGCTAATCAAGTTTGCTTGGCCTAACCAATACTTACGTATCTTCACTTGCTTTCACACTGTATATTTGTTGTTGTAAATCAGCCGTCTTCACTCCGAATAAGAAAAATATAAAAACGGTCCACCTTCACTCTTACATGAAGCTGTAGTAAAAGTTTCAGACCGATAGCTAACGTGACGTCTGCGTAGGCGTGCGCAAAACCTTTGGTCAAAATTGAACGGTTATTATTGAATAACTTTGCACAAGTGGTTTATAGTTAGGCCAAATTTGACAACCAATTGCGGGTTTTAAAGATCTACCAGTGTACCAGATTTGAAAAAAATCTATGAAAGTATGTTTTTCTATCAAATAAATTTTCCGTACTTTCAGTGCGAAGAAGAAAAAAGAAAGAAAATAATTCAATCAAAATTGGAGATTTTACATCTCGTGTATTTCTTAATGTCTTTTTTATTGATTTTTTATTTTACACACGTTTTCAAAGAGAATTCAACAACTTTTTTCAGTTGTATCAGTCCATGGGCTTATAGACAATGAATAAGATAAGATGTTCGAAGCTTAGAAGATATGATAAATCACACCATACAAAGTAATAAAAACTAATCCATAACGCCTGCTAAGAAACTGGGTTTTGTTCACTGCGCTTAGATATGCATTGCATTAACTAAATGACAGAAAAGTTTGTTTGTTTGTAAGAGCAAGGCTACATAACGGGCTATCTGCGCTCTGTCCATCACGGGGATTCGAGCTCCGGATTTCAGCGTTGTAAGCCGTAAACATACCAAATGACCCACTGGGGGACAAAAGGAAAGATAACACTTCCACTTCGTTATAACAATACGGTAAAATAAAACAGCAAATATGAAGGTTAATTTTACTAATAATCAAAGAAAAACAAAAGGAAAAATGCTCTTATTAATAACAGGTAGATAAATAGAAATTTTGCGATCGGAATCTATGTGTCATCAAGTTCAGTTCCGTCATGATTTTTCTTTTAGCTTTCATTAGGTCCACTTGTACTATTTGTATATGGTATCACGGACTTGAGCCTTTTTCTTCATGGGATAGCATGTTTTGAAGAGCTTCAATTGTATTGAAACTTGGCCGATACAACAACAAACGACATTTAAAGATAATTATAACTTCCCCGAAACATGCTGATTCATGTAGCAAATAAACTTAACCACTGTAATCAACAAACAAGTTTTTTTTTTTACAGTGGGAGTACCCTTGACTAAGAGTTACACTGCTAAGAGTAATTATTGAAAGTATTATTGGGGTAAGTGAGAAAATCACAGTAAACCGAAAGAACTGTCAGAAATCTGATATCAGAGAAACTAGCTTCGACACATTAGTGCGTCTTTTCGTTTTCACGTTGTCTTCTGCTAAACACAATATTGTGTTCTTTTATTATTATTACTGGAATATTACTATGAATAAAAATGGTTATTCTCTCAGTATTAATGGCTGAAAAACATTACGGTATCTTATAAATGTACGTGAAGCTCTTGTTACAAGTAGTTTCTGTGTTTTCACAATATTAATTCTATGTATAACAGTTATGCGTAGCGTTTTCCCTGGTTGGCCCAGAATAGAAACAGTACACTTTTGTGAATTTATTATTTGTGCGTGGAGAATTGTGTTCCTTACTGTAAAGTCACATCTCCTCGCAGTCTATCGAATTAAATGGGTGTATATTCGCAATTATTTTAAACCACAATACTTTAATCTATTTTGAAACTCCAAATAGATATACTGACATCTTCGCTTGTCTAAGTGTTTTACGGAACTCGTTTCAGAACACGCTGTAACATAATATATATATCTTTAAACGCTAGGGGTAGATAACTGTCAAAAAATAGTTTACTGGTTTATGTTAACAAAAGGTAATAAAAACTGGGGTGTGTGTAAAACTAGATAAAATCTCTTGTCACAGAAAGTTAATATTCTATCTTTAAGTTAAGATAGTACAAAAATTCCTATTACCAGTCGATCTTCTTTGGATTGCTAGTAACAAATGCTGAAAATATCCCTCTACAGACAGTCCTGTAAGTAAACTTAAAGTTCATATCTCGTTATTAGGCTTTCTAACCCAAAATTCATTTGAACTATGGTATAGGTGTAAGTTTTCAAAGTTACATTTCAATTCCTTAAGAAATTGCCCAGCCAAGTTCATCGCAGATAGGTAGACGTAAATATCACTAGCATAATTATTGTGTTTTGGCACTTGTGTATAAAGTTGCAATGTCGAAACATCTGGATTCGTCAATTTTTTGAAGGCCATAGATAGGCTTAAATAAAATGCTTTTAATTGTGTACCAGTTTTAAAGTTCAATATTATATATGATTTTACCACTAGTATACTCCCAGTTTGCCCCTGAAGAAGAAAGGTCCACCTTTCGAAAGCGCTCGGGCTATGGGGTTTTTAATTCATTTCTCTCAAGACTTCTTGAACCTACGTGTTTTTCTAAAATCATTACTAGCATACTCCAAGTGTAAATATCAAGTTCTTTACGTTTTTGATATCCCATGTAAACCTAAGTAGTAAATCAAAGATACCTGAAGATTACCATGAGCAACGGTAGATTGTTTTCGAAATTTAGGCCTATTTGAGAAGAGCGTAGGACATGTTGGATTATCACATGTCACGTTAGCAATCTTTTCTTCTACGACTATACTGGTTAGGTCTAAGATATTTATTCAAATCTATTTACAAATATATTTCATACCGTATCCAGACAAAACCTAAATTTAGGTTTTAAAAAACGACAGAGATTTCCACAGCCGTTTTTCTGTACTGTACAATATCGTTTCGACTCGCTGCACATATTTTCATTAGTTATTTTTAACTAAATTGAACGTGTTGACTTCTTAATGTGTACGTATTCTGTGCCGTTGAAACAATTACTTATGTTTTAAAATAATTTTCACTGCTTTGTATACTGTACTTTATATGTTTTCATATGAATGAAAAACCACAACTAGCTTCCCAAAGCTTGCGTAAATAAAATTCGAGCCTTTATTGTTATATATTGCTTTTTTTCTGATTTCTTGTTATTTTGGGTTATATTAAAGTTTTAAGTATAGTATATGATAGAATTGAATTTTTTATAGAAGTCAGTGTTCTGAGAATACGAACATTTGCTTGCATTTTCCCCTAGTTCTGGGACCATATGAGCGAGGATTATATGTCAGTGTTGTTATAATAGGAAACTAATACAGAACAACTTTTCTTACTAGACAGCTTGGCTTCATTGAGCATCGACTTAGCGGACGATTGGCCACGGGAGTCAGCCGGAAAAGAAGCAAAGCGGCCGGCTATGACGTCGTGTGAACCGGGCAGCTGGAAAAGCTCTTCTCTGACTCAGTGACGGAGAACCCCGCACTTGTCACAGGTTCCGCTTTCTCTCATAATCTCAAAACAAGGCAGTAATGGTAATTTAACAAGAGTGCCAACCAGCTGACGGCCACAGCATCACAAGCCACACTGGCGGGATAACCGCAGGTGTGAGCTCGGTCACCGGGTGCTTTGGCAGGTTTAATGTGAAGTTAACAAGTCCTCAGTTCTTCAGACAACGAATGGTTCATGTAAACAATGATTCAGGATACACTTCCGAGAATACTATCCAGTGATACACGTTGTCATTACAGGAATTGGACTAAAATCTAATAATGAGCTTCAGTAATTGTATATGTGGAGTTTTCATTTCTAGCCTAAACTTCAGTGAAGGGGTAGAATGACAAGTCATGTAACAACTTTTATTCTTTTAATATTTCAAAATAATCTTTAGTTAAGTTATTTCTTAGTTCATTCACTTGTCCTGAGAGAACTTCCTGCTAAAAAGTTTTAAAAATGAAGATTTAACTACCGTACTTGAAGAAGAAATGTAAGATAAAGTCCAGTACTATTTTTAGCAACTATATATACCGCTACAAAAAAGTTAAAAAATTTTCCATATTAACTTTCAAAATTATTCAAAAACTTAAAATTATTATCATTTTTTAGAGAGAATAATCCAGTATGGAACATAATGAACAGACAGTTTTTATCGCATGAAAACATAAAGCTGAAACATTTGTTTGTTTGTTGCTAAGCGCATAGCTTCAGAATGCGCTACCTTGTTGTGCCCACTAAGAGTATCGAAACCCGGTTCTCAGCGTTAATAAACTTTCAGACATACCGCTGAGGGGAAGGGGGGGGGGTGGACTAAAATTTGTAATAATCTATATCGTTCAGGCTGAGAAAGAGCTGTGAAGTTTCGAAAAACACTTGAAATTTCTTATTATCTGAAAAACTGGAAAATGATAATTTTAAAATAAATAGGTCTGTCTCCTGTTTCTTCCTGTCACTGGATTCTCTCTTACACTCACTCACACACATATCTACATGTTAATTCACAAATACCACAGACGCTCCTTACTTTCAATGTTTTTTTATTTTTATTTTTTCTCAAAGCTAGGCTCGAGAATAAATATTACTACACATATCACCCCAGTTTTGGGTAACTTGATTTGATTTTTTATTTTTAGGAGTAAATATCGTTGCCCAACTAACTGTAGGCAGTAGTACATTGGTTCAAGGAATCATATATGCATCAAAATTTAAGTTATAATTTCGTTTCACAGATGACGCTTACGATTTGAAATATGTGGTATCCTCATTGTTGCTTGTGTTCTTCTTCCACGTGTCTCTTACGAGGACCATTCTACGATTCCCATTTTGTTTTCCATACTCCAGTTGTATTTATTTTCTTGAATAACTGTATGTCTATGTGTAAAATTGTTGGAAATACTCAAAGCAAGATAGAAGTTGGTTTCTTGTATTTTAGCAAATTTACGATTGGCTATATGTAAGTAACTTTAGTCAGTAATATCAAGTACATGAGATATTAGACTTAAGAAAAAAAATAAAACCATTTAGTATAAATACTAAAAAAATGTTGATTTCTATGATATCGAAACTAGATTAAAACGCTTTTTTTAAGATAGAAAATCAGTAGCGGTAAAAAGCTAATGTTTTTTGGCGTGAAGCTACACGATGGGCTGTATAAATCCTGTTCACTGCGGGGAATCGAACCCGGATTTTTAGCATTGAAAGTTCTCAAAGTAACTTCTGATGTACTGGAAGACTGAGAAAGACTTCTTCATTCCGTTTTGGAAGACTATATAAGATGTAAATGTATGAACATATATATATTCTTAAATTACATGTGTATAGCCTAAACAAACTAAATGGTGTGTAGTCATATATTAAAAACATGAAGCGTTGATACAAGAAATACATATATAAAGGTATACATTCACACTATTCATATGCACATGTTTACACAGTTCTTATTTCCATATACCTTAAAGGGTAAAAGTTCTCATCATTTACTGAAGTGAGGCGCTAATGTAGGAATCACACCACAATTACATATTTTGTTTTTAAAATGTTGTTAATAATCAAATTTATTTTTAAAAAAAAATGCTTCATAGTATAGAATCACAATATTTTCGTATTTTTTTGGTTTAACTTTTGCACATTTCGGAAAGAAAGCTGTAACGAACTCTAGAATATTATAGGAAAATATTGTTTCCATAATGCAAAATAAATAATCAGTTATAATAAATGATTGAGTTTTAGTATAACAGAAGAACCCAGCTTTCGACCCCACTGAGACTAATAAGATGAAACTTCTTCACGGTGGTTGCTGGTTACACAGCTGGTTACACATAATCAAGTGCGCAAATCCCTCCGAACTTGCGGTCTGGAGGATCCTGGTATGGGAGCCGACACAGGTGACGGTCTTGCTCGGAGGAAAGGAGCAGACTTTTCTGTCCGCTTTCAGAGTAATGTCAGAAAGCTGACTAAAGAGGGTTTAAGCATGATTCGTCCAGAACACTCTTGGGCTTCCAACTCTCTGCGAGATGGTGAATTTACAGCCGAGTATTCTGCAATGGAGACAACCGTGGCGGTTGACTGTCCCATACCTATCGGCTCGCAGTCGTTACCGCTCACAGTCGGGCTGTGTCTCCATAGGCTGATCCATTCGGGACTTATTAGACGAGTACTTCAGGTATGCCCATATAGCGATAGTTTATATTCAATATATCTATAATATTAAATGAAAGTTGTTGTTTATATTGTTTGCTGTACTATAATTAGAAACACTAATTATATTAAACAGAGAGCATTATATTATCAAATACACATGTGAACCTAGCATCACTCTCATTGTCAGTTGTTTCTCAAAACAATGATCAAATACTAAAAATGTTTTTAATACAGACTCAAACTTATGTAATTACTATTTATTTATATGTTTTTTTCTAATTAAATAATTTTATGTAAGAAAACAACAACAAAAAAAAATACAGTGATAAAAACATAATATAATAGGAATAAAATAACTCCCCTGGTGGTACAGCTGTTAGTTTCCTGATTTACAATACTAAAATCTGGGGTTCAATTCCCGCCAGTGAGAAAAGTTCAGATAGCCCATTGTGTATATTTGAGCTAAAAGACCAACCAAAACGGATAAAACAAGAAAGTAGATATTAAAATTGATTCTTAGGTAGATCATGTTTTTCATTTTAATCAATCCGCCCTTTTTCCACTCACATGTTGGTTTTTAAATATTCATAATCAATCCGTGAAATTATCCGCCTCTTCATGAAAACATTTATACACATATCTGTATGAGTATTTAATTCACGTACCCTTAAAATTTAGAATACTAATAATGTGTGTAATGATTTGCTTCAAGAAAACTTGTGCACGTGAACTTCGTAATCTTTGCGTGTTCAAAGTTAGCCCAGGATTTCTTGTTTTTAGATAATGGCCAATAATTTCTTCTTCAACTAATTGTGAAGAAATGTGAATTTTTCGAGGTTATTAGATAACTACAGTAAACCGTTGACTGAAAAAAAAACAACGTTGATTTTTGTTAAGTGTTGAATAATATCTGTTTCTCTCTCTCTTTCTTCACATAAGTGATTATGATTATCATTAATAACTTCTGATCAAAACAAGCTAACTACATAGATTATAACTGAAATATAAGAAAAATAACTAAAGAAGTAATGTAATTAATTTTAAGTAACGGACTAACTAGGGGAAATAATGTAATGAAAGAATTAACTAAAAGAAAAAATAAATAAAATAATGATTAGAATACATTGATTTATCAGTTGGGTAATCTCGACGTTATCGATTTACTCGGTCGTAATCCGAATAGTATCTCAAAATATTCTACTAGCTTAGATTTAGGTTTTCCTAAATTCGTATAGTAAGCAGAATAATCTACATAAATGTAAAAAAATAAAACTATATGTGTATATTAAACATTATGACCAATAATATTAGTTAAACTAATTATAAGGAAGAATGGAGTAAATTTTTGTTTATAATATATATAAACAAAATATATATATATATATAAAACTAGTTTGTCAGCTTCATGTCGACTAGTGACTAACGTGATGCTGTTCTACTTCTTATATTATTTAGTGACCAATAATTAATTACCAGGCGTTAGTCACTGAGTAAATGTTTCTTTATCTTTTGTGTAGGCTACATTAAATAGTGGAACGATACTACTTCACGAGAATCCTAGTTCAAGACGATGGGTGAAACTAGTACGCGTGGCACGAGACTGTCATGAACAAAATGCTCAACTGACTAGAACCAGCGAAGAACATCTAGTTCTAGAAACAACTCGAAATATATCAGCAGGAGAGGAACTGTTTGTGTGGTTTGCAACAGACATGTTGTTCGAACAGGCCATTCCGTTTCTCTTGCCTAGTCAGATACTTGGTATGTTAGAAAAAAATCTCTTTCATATAGCGTAAACTCAGTTATTTTCAATTTGTTAACTCTAACTCCCATCTTTGAATAGTATCCACAACCTCTGAAGTATTTCTTGGTAAGTGAAAATTAATATACATAAACAAAGTGATAGCTAAATAGACAAAGAAACGTCTACTCAGTGGGAATGTTTATGTTTATTGTTCGTCCTAACAATCATTTTTCGTCACATTCTTAAATTTTTTTGATGTTTAACATCGTGATATAATCTTTACATGGCGAGAAAATCTAATAATTGTATTATAAGATATTTTACCTTCTGATTTATTCCAACCTGTGATCAATGTACTGCTTTCTTTAGGGCCCGATTTTTAAAGTCGTACAAACCAGTGTTAGTGATATTTGTTAGAAAGTATTGGCCTAGTATTTGTTTCATATACTAAATTAATATAGTTTTCATTAAACTGACGAAATATTTATATTTATTTGGTTTAGTTCAATGGAATAAAGCCAAAAACAAAACAAAACAAAAAACAGCAAAGATGCGATAATGTTAGTTTATTGGACTGAGGTAAAACGTTGAAAGGGGTATTTTTTGGGTGAAAGGGCTGTCGTCTGATGTCCAATAAGTTGATTTGTTTGTTTTTGAATTTCGCGCAAAGCTACACGAGGGCTGTCTGCGCTAGCCGTCCTTAATTTAGCAGTGTAAGAATAGAGGGAAGGCAGCTAGTCATCACCACCCACCGCCAACTCTTGGGCTACTCTTTTACCAACGAATAGTGGGATTGACCGTCACATTATAACGCCCCCACGGCTGAAAGGGCGAGCATGTTTGGTGTGAGAGGGATTCGACCCTCAGATTGCGAGTCGAATGCCCTAACCACCTGGCCATGCCGGGCCGCCAATAAGTTGGAAAAGAACTTACATAAAAATGGAGCAAGTGATCATAGTAACCAGGATAAAACAATGACAGGACTCCATTAATGATTTGAATAGTGTTGAAGTTAAATTTTATTGTAATAAATGAAACTAAGCAATATTTCAAAGAAGTAATTGTTTAATTAAAGTAACAGGGTTTCATGTATATATTAGACATGAACCTCACAGAAAGTATTAATACTCATTTAAAGTTCCTTATAGGGCAGAGTAAATTGTTAATTAATGTCAATGTCATGATATTTTGCGAATATTCATTAACATTAAATGTAATATTGTTACAGGTCAAGAACAGTATTCTTGTGTTGTTTGCGGTACCACATTTTCTCATCCAAACCCTTTAAAGGCCCATATTATTCTGGAGTGCAGTGGTCGATTTAAACCTGCTCAGCTAAATACAACCTCTGAAAGACTCTCTGCTGATCATGGTGGCATGTCCTCTCTGCATTTCTCCAGATGGCCTGAGACTGTAACCATTGTCACCAATCAATATCAGAAGCAGTTACCAGCACGAGGTTTCCATGATCCTCTTCCTCTTGCTGACCCAGTTTTTCCGCCCAATGTCTTCCATCTTTCAAATAATGAGCAAAGTACAAATTTTCCTGGTATTGCTAGAACTCTCACGGGGACATCCTATGTTTCTACTAGTTCTTCAGGTGAGACTAATGCGGTTCCTCGTGGTCACTGCTGTGTTTATTGTGGAAAAGTGTACTCAAGAAAATATGGACTCAAAATTCATGTTCGGACACACACTGGTTATAAACCACTCAAATGCAAGTATTGTCTTCGACCATTTAGTGACCCCAGCAACTTAAATAAGCATGTGCGTCTGCATGCAGATACTACGAGTCCGTATCAATGCTCTCACTGCGGAAAAGTCCTCGTGAGGCGGCGTGATCTGGAGCGACACTTACGTTCACGACACGGTCTAACGTCTGAAAATGATGTTGCCATAGCGACAGAAAACCAAAATTAATAAACACAGGATAAATAGTGTTCCTTCATTTTCCAAACTGGTGGAATAATCTGAAAGTTATGTTTGTTGGGGAGATTGCGACCTGAGTTATGAAGAGCTTAAATGTATATACATTAATAAAATACATCTTTTTGCATATACTTAAAACATAAAAGCTTGTATTAATGGACTTTACACGTTATTAGTTTGATCGATGATTGTCAGGCTTAAAAAACTTAAATTTACGAGCGAAAAAATTTCGCTCAACGATCTCTATTTACTGCGATAGTCAAATTTTCGCAGAAATAAAAAGAACTACCTGTTTAATAAAAAAATATGGAGTTTACTTCTTTTCGGCTCCATATTAATATTCATTTAAGAAAAACTAATGGATAAAAGTTTATAAAATATATAAGAGTGTTTCTCATTTTATAACTTTGATGTCAGTATGACTTTATATATTTTTTATAATACGCAAAAATCATTGTCTTAGATAGTATTATTCATAAATTCTCAATCCCAAACTAAATCCACTTACATTCGATTGGGTATCATTTAAGTTAAAATCTAAAGATTTAAAAATTAAAGAAAAATGTCATTCTAAAAAGTTCTTACATGTTCTTATATGTTGGTGAATTAGACATTAGTAATAACAGTAAACATGTCTGGATAACTGTTCTTACATACTTTGTTGGTGAATTAGACACTAGTAATAACAGTAAATAAACATGTCTGGATAACTGTTCTTACATACTTTGTTGGTGAATTAGACACTGGTAATAACAGTAAATAAACGTGTCTGGATAACTGTTCTTACATACTTTGTTGGTGAATTAGACACCGGTAATAACAGTAAATAAACATGTCTGGATAACAATTGAGAAACAACACACTGTCGCCTAATCACAATACACTTATTTCCAAAGACGATCGCCCCCCCTAGTGGCACAGCGGCATGTCTGTGGACTCACCAAGCTAGAATTCGGGTTTCGATACCCGTGGTGGGCAGAGCACAGATAGCTCATTGCTTAGCTTTGTGCTTAATTACAAATAAACAAAGACGAAAATAATAAATTATTTTGATTAGTGCGAATGTGCATTATGTTTTTCTCTTCCGTTAATTTGCCAAATCATAGTCATTTGTTGAAGGCTGAACATTCAACCAATTCTCTAAAAAAATTATATTAAACTTGTTTAAATTAAAGAACTTATAACATAAATGCTATAACAATAGATACTATTACAAATGTAATTAATGATATAAGATAAAAATAGCATCATGTATCTTATTAGAGCTAATATACTGTGTTGGATTAAAAAATAAGTTTATCGATTCTAATTACATTAGAATTTTCCTGTGATACAAACTTTAATAAGAAACGAAAATCACTTTTTAGAATTACGCAAATATGTGTTTATATAAGCAAGTTTCATGTAACCGTGAAAATGATACGTATTTACTCGTACTGGGAAACATATCCTATTCCATAATCAAGTGAATATTATAGTTTTGAACGCTATCTGCTCTCATTGGCCTATTTAGGAGCTTGATGTGTCTAAATGTAGGAAATAACGTGATGCAACTTTTAGATTGTATTTACTCACACAACTTTGTGCTCTGTCATCATAGTTCCAAGACGCACGTAAGCACCTAGAGCTGTCTAAATGTAGGGATTTTAAGTTGAATTTGTTTTCTGAGAGTTAGTAGGTTTTTAAAGAATATACTCTTGTGAACGATACTCATTGTGAAGTCCGGTAACGATATTGTTGCGTCAGCGAGGTCACGTGACTAGTG